TCTCTCTCTCTCTCTCTCTCTCGCTCTCTTTCGCTCTCTCTCTCTCTCTCTCTCTCTCTCTCTCTCTCTCTCTCTCGCTCGCTCTCTCTCACTCTCTCTCTCTGTCTCTCCCCCTCTCTCAGACAGCTAGTGACGTCACACCCCGCAGCGTGCGTGCACGAGAGATGACGCCTATCATCGGGGGAAGGAAGAGAAAGAGAGAGCGGGGGGTGTCCATGCCCGCAGGTTGAACTGAGCACGAGCAGAGGGAAAAGAACGGATATAGAAAAAGGCAAACACCGCTGCCACGTCCTGTCCTCTTATGTCCTCTCCTGTCCCTCCTGTCCCTATTGTCACTGTTGTTCCTCTTATGTCCCCTCCTGTCCTCTCCTGTCCCTACTGTTACTGTTGCCTCTCCTGTCCTCTCCTGTCCTCTCCTGTCCCTACTGTTACTGTTGCCTCTCCTGTCCTCTCCTGTCCCTACTGTTACTGTTGCCTCTCCTGTCCTCTCCTGCCCTGTCCTCTCCTGTCACTGTTGCCCCGCTATCACCACTGCTCCTCCTCCTGTCCGGTGCTTCTTCTCTCCCTCCTTTCCCGTTACCCGTGCATGACGGCAGCATATGAGATGCAGCGCACGGGTCGTGGCTGCGGGCAGCGGGAGGCGAAATTTTTCCCCCCAGTTGAGTTCCGGACCACAGCCAATCAGCGCACTCCATTCTCGAAGCAACAATGTAAAATGAATACTCCCTAACCCTAACCCTAACCCGTAACCGAACCCTAACACTAACTATAATCCAACCATATATATACGAACCATACATTACAAAACACTATCTATGGTGGGTCCGGAACTCACGTGGGGGAAAAATTTCGCCAGCGGGAGCGGCGGAGGCAGCGGAGACTGACAGACAGTGGTGCAGTGACGCCGTATGGATTTGCTGTCACCAGCAGCCGATTGCAGCGAACACGGATTTCGTGCTGCGTACGTTAGAGGCGCGGCGTCGGTTAACCGTTAGCAACCGACCGTTACCGTTACCAGCAGCACGACGTTATGATATCACATCCGTCTGTCTACCTCCTACCTCCTTAGGGGAGGAGAGAGGGGAAAGGGAGAAGGGGAGAGAGCGAGAAAGAAGAAAGAGGGAGGGAGAAAGAGAGAAGGGGTAGAGAAGGGGTGGGAGACAGGGGAGAGAGGCATGAGAGAGAGGGAGAGGGAGCGAGAGAACGAGAGATAGAGAGAGGGAGCGAGAGAGCGAGAGATAGAGGGAGCGAGAGAGCGAGAGATAGAGAGAGGGAGCGAGAGAACGAGAGAGAGAGAGAGAGAGAGAGAGAGAGAGAGAGAGAGAGAGAGAGAGAGAGAGAGAAAGCAGCTAGAGAGAGAGAGAGACGTGAGAGCAGAGAGAGGTGATGAGACGAGAGAGAGAGAGAGAGAGAGCAGAGAGAGGGAGGGAGGAAGGGAGGGAGGGAGGTGAGAAGGGAGGGAGGGAGGGAGGGAGGAGGGAGCGGCAGGGGAGGAGCGGGAGGGAGGAGGGAGGGCAGGAGAGAGAAGAATAGACAGAGAGGACAGACATGAGAGAGACAGAGGAAGACGATAGACAGAGGAGAGACCAAGAGAGACATAAGACAGAGACGAGAGAGAGAGAGATGAGAGAGAGGAGAGAGAGAGATATAGAGATGAGAGATAGAGACGAAGAGTGTCGTTGCGTAGATGTGGTGGTGTGTGTGTGTGTGTATGTGTGTGTGTGTTGTGTGTGTGTGTGTGTGTGTGTGTGTGTGTGTGTGTGCGCGCGTGTGTGTGTGTATGTGCTGTGTTTGTGTGTTGTTGCTGTTTGTGTGTGTGTGTGGTGTGCTGTGTGGTGTGGTGTGTGCGCAGCGCTGCGCGCGAGCGTCCCCAGCCATGAGACCAAACGTAGTGTGTGTGTGTGTGTGTGTGTGTGTGTGTGTAGTGTGTGTGTGTGTGTGTGATCAGGCCACCCACCGACGAAAAGCTAAGCGGTGATTTTTGCGGCCATTGCTGACAATCACCATCATGCGTTATGTAGCGGCGAGACAGCGAGCGGCAGGAGCGGCGGCGGCGGCGGCGGCGGCGGCGGCGGCGGCGGCGGAGGAGCAGCGGGAGCGGGAGTGGTGGCGGTATAGACGGCCCGCGAAAAAATACGACGGCCAGATCGATGACCGTACTACTGATACTGCTGCTGCTGCTGTTGCTGATGTTGTTGTTGCTGCTGCTGTTGCTGCTGATGTTGTTGATGTTGCTGCTGCTGCTGCTGCTGCTGCTGCTGATGATGATGATGACGATACTGCTGCTACTCCTGCTGTTGCTGAGAATCTGATGGCTGAGCATCGTCTTGACAACAACGCCGCATCCCACCTCATTCTCAACCACAGTGAATCCCACGTTCACACCGCACTGTTTGTCCTAGTGCGCGCGGGAGCGGGCGTGCGTGCGTGCGTGCGTGCGCGCGTGCGGGCGTGCGTGCGTGCGTGATGTGTGTGCGCGTGTGCGTGCGTGTGTGCGCGTGCGTACGTGTGTGTGTGTGCGTGCGTGCGTCCGTACGTGTGTGTGTGTGTGCGTGCGTGTGTGTGCGTGTGTGTGTGCGTACGTGCGTGTGTGTGTGTGTGTGTGCGTACGTGTGTGTGTGCGTGAGTGCGTGTGTGTGTGTGTGTGCGTGCGTGCGTGCGTGCGTGCGTGCGTGCGTGCTGAGTTGAGCAGTGATCAAGCTCTCTCTCTCGCTATGGCGTGCGTGTCGCGGTGAAGTCTGGATGGCTTCTTTTCCTTCTTTTTCTTCTTCCTGTTCCTTTTCTTATTCGTCGTCGTCGTCGTTTTCTTTTTCTACTTTCTTCTTCTGCTTCTTCATTTTCTTTTTTTTCTTCTTCCTTTTATTTTTGTTTTTGTTTTTCTTCCATCTCAGTTTCAGTTTCTTATTTTTTCTCCCCCTCCCCGCCTCCACCTTCTTGCCTCCTCCCCGCCTCCTCCCCGCCTCCACCTTCTCGCGTCTAACGCTGTTTAACGCTGTTCCGCACTGCAGAATAATCATCTCGACCTCACCGATGTGAAGGAGCACACCATACCCTCCTCCCTCCCTCTTCCACACTGTGAGAGAACACCCCCTCTTCTCTCTCTCTCCTCTCTCTTCCGTTCTTCCTTACGCTTTCCTAGAATTCTCTGCAAACTCATGAGCTCAATGAAGGGCCACACCTGCGCCCGATCTCAGAGGCGCGCCGTGACCACCCAAAGATGGCCGCCATCGGCGTCTTCGACTAGAAAACGACGAGATGCCGTTGGGCCTTCGGCGATAAATAGGGGGTGGGGGCGGTCGACCGGTCGGCGGGGGGTTGTGGGTGGGGGCTGGGGGGTGGTGGTTTACTTTACCTCTAGCCTATCCGTCCGTCCTGGTTTCTTGCTGCGCACGCAGCTGTGACGAGCATCACACTCCGGAAAGGAGGTTGCATAGCCGCGTCTCGAGGCACGAGGCCGTGCATGATCATGTTCTGGTTGTTGTATGGGTTTCACTCGTGTGCGATGGCTGGTATCGGCTGGAGGGTACGGGTCGCTCCCGCCTGCCAAACACAACACACACACGTACGCGTCAGTTACAGCACGTACCCGCACGTACACGCACGTAACATGCGCACGTACACGCGTGCGTGCACAGGTCTGGTATCATGAGGGATGAAACAGCAGGCCACTGGATAACTGTAAGAGTGGACGCATAGGCCTATTAGCAGGAGCTGTATCCCTATCATAGAAGCATAGAAGAGGATGGCATAGCCAGGAAACTGTAGAGGGATGCATAGCCCAGGAACTGTAGAGGGAATGGGGCATATGCAGGAACTGTAGAGGGATGCATATTTATAACGTGTACAGATATAACAACGGTAAGGATATAAAAAAAAACACGAACTTATAGACCGGCTATAAATAGATTAGGCCGACGCGAACAAAACGAATAGGGATGCCGTCGTATAACGTGATAGCGGATCAAGGTCCAAAAACCGACGATTACAGCTGTTTATGTTTATTGCCTATCATGACGGACATAAAATCATTTCCCCTACGTATTGAGCTATATATGCAACATAATATTCTCTCTCTCTCTCTCTCTCTCTTCTGCTCTCGCTCGTCTATAGATCTATATATTAATTAGTATATCTATATATATATATATATATATATATATATATATAATATAGGATACATATAAGGCGTTACACGGAGAGTGTCGCTATTTATACTATTGTGTGATATATGCGTTTATTATTGTATTAATTATTGCTATGCGTATGCATCACTATAAACGCAGGTTGTACTGTTGCCATGGCGAGCTAATGCCACCTCGTGGGACGGAGAGAATCACGTGTTAGCGATATTGAAAAGATGGATGTCAACAAATCTACGTTGATATATGCAGTTCGGTGGCACATATTAAGAGAAAAGAATGTGTATATACGAAATGTTAGCCTTACTGCATGCACATACACCTAATGCGTTATGCTAGCAGTACTGGCAAATTCAGACCAACCGGTCGATAAAATGACTAACGGAGAAGGGAAAACATGTATTTTAAGTATAGCTCGTGCAGTTAGTAGATTTTTGCCGACATAAATGACAATATGAAATAGCATTAACATCATTGGTTGTAAATCAGAGGGGAGGGGGGGCGGAGTCTCTGAATTTATAAGTGTAGCCTGTCCAGTCTGTATGCTCCCAATTTATATGATTTCGTTATCACGACGTGTTTATGACGAATGTGCTAAAAAACGCCCAATATTTGATAATACAAAAATTAAAATCGCATAACGCGGATATGCTCACATGTCCTTAAAGGAGCGTCTGGCGAAGACGAAACCAGTAAACCTTCTCAAATTTAACGATTAATTGGCGCGAATGAACGTATCTTTCTCATACTAATTGATAGGAAATTCGGTAAAAACTTTAAAGCTACAACAAAGACAGGCTGCTATGACCGCGGGGGATGACAACTAACCACGGGCAAAGGCAGCAAAGCGAGTAAAGGCCGGTCTCCCACCATCAGCGGCGCGGCACGAACGCCACGAGAAATACGCGTGTTCACGCCTACGCGGCAAAAGTTCAAATCTATTATATCTTAAGGCGCAGTCTCCACTGACACGGCACGGCGCCAGCCCGGTTTCACGGCGACGGCGAAAGTCAAATGAGTTTGAATTTTTCCGGATGCCGTGTACGACGAAAGACAGTTGAACCAATCAACGCGATTGTTTTCTATCACGTGTTCTGCTCACGCCACCATCAGCCAATGGACAACAAGCACATGCATAATAATATCTGACCAATGAACCAGAGTGAACACAATGTGCGAAATCACAATGTATTTTTTTCCGGCCCAACGACGCTGCGTTTTGCTGTGTCGTTTCGTGCCGCGTGTGTGGAAACAATAGCCGCGTTCACACGTAGCAAGAAATTCGGTATTTAGCGTTCACACGAGGCAAAATGCGCGGTCCAAAAAATACGGAATCTAAATAGATTCGGTATTTGTTGAAATACGCGGCTTCCCTTCCCAGATGCCGAATTATTTGCCGTGCTTGAGAAATTCCGAATCTCTTGGACCGCGTATTTCTCTCGTGTAAACGCTAAAGGGCCGGACACACTACTAGGCGATTTTCAGGCGAGTGAGTCGCGCGACTGAGAGTGGACACACTAGGAGAATATTAGCGCGATTCATCGGCGATTTTTCTCCCGCTGCAACACTAAAACACTCGCGCCACCTAGAATGATAGTCACATGATTGAAAATGGCACCGTTTGATTGGCTGATGAATTGTACAATCGGGCGACTCATTCGCCGACCCGGACACACTAGGCGATTGTAGTCGCGCGACTGAAATAATCGCCCGAATTTATCAAAACGTTTTGATCGATGCGATCGAATCGGGCGACTAAATCGCCGCTGCAAATCGGCGGCGACTGACTGGACACGTTAGGCGATTTTCACCGGCGATTAAGTCGCCCGACTGAGTCGCCGGTGAAAATCGCCTAGTGTGTCCGGCCCTTATACCGAATTTCTGAAGCCGCGTATTTTATAGACTGGTCCGCGGTCGACAGTTGCAGCGTAACGCGAGTGGAACTGTCGAGCGCGGACCAGTCTACGTATTTTATCCGCAGTTGGTGCGCATTGCATTGTTTATTTCGCATTGTTTGCTTGATTGTTCGCTTGGACCATAGATTGGACGCATTGGTTTTTTTCAGTGTACTAAGCAGCTCGCAGCTCGCAAATACGGCATTTCTGGAGCCGCGAAACAGCGTGTGAACGCTCGGGCGCGAATTTGTCTCAGATTCGGTATCTCGCAAATAACTTTAGAACGGCGGTAGACGTCGCCAGAGTTTGATTGTTTAATTCGCATTGTTCGCTTGATTGTTCGCTTGGACGCATTGTATTTTTTTCTCAGCTCGCAGCTCGCATAAAGCGGGGGAGACACCATGCGAATTTATTCGCACGTGCTTGTGAGAAGGGACGGGTACCAGTGTAGTGCGAATAATGGCCGCTTGTTATAATGCAGCGAATCATTGATCAGTATGCTAATCACGTGACTACATGACTGTTGGAGCCATGGTGGAGCCGTGTGGCGCCAGTAGATCGCATGGTGCGTCCGCTCAATTATCGCATGCGGGTGTGAATATTTTCGCCGCGATTTTCGCTGCGGATATGATCGCCGCGGACGTGCGAATAAATTCGCATGGTGTGTCCCAGGCTATAGAGGCATGTCCAAGAACTGATCGATCAAACGTCGCGTGAACGCTCTCCGTGTCGTTTTTGATCCGGGTCAGACTCGGATCGTTTTCGACCCGGCGTTTTCGCTCCGTGTGAACGCGGCTGTAGAGACACGTGTGACAGCATTAACTAGACAATGAGACAGCATTATAGAGACAATGAGACAGCATTATGGAGACACGTGTGACAACATTAACTAGAAAATGAGACAGTATTATAGAGACAATGAGACAGCATTATGGAGACAATGAGACAGCATTATGGAACATTAAATAGACAATGAGACAGCATTATAGAGACAATAAGACAGCATTATGGAGACACGTGTGACAACATTAACTAGACAATAAGACAGCATTATGGAGACACGTGTGACAACATTAACTAGACAATGAGACAGCATTATAGAGACAATGAGACAGCATTATGGAGACACGTGTGACAACATTAACTAGACAATGAGACAGCATTATAGAGACAATGAGACAGCATTAACTAGACAATGAGACAGCATTAACTAGACAATGAGACAGCGTTCTGGAGACAACAAGATAAGCGAGACAGCATTGTCCCTGTGCCATTATCTCGCGCGCGGGGGAGGAGGGAAGTGTAGGGGAGGAGGAGGACGGAAGGAGGAGGACGGATGGGAGGGGGGAGGAGGACGTGGAGGGAGGAGGAGGGGGAAGATGAGGTGGAGGGAAGAGGATGAAGAGGTGGACGGGAAGAGGAGGAGGAGGTTGACGGGAGGAGGAGGTGGAGGGGAGGAGAAGGAGGACGGAAGGGAGGGGGAGGCGACTGAGGCGGTAATCAGTGGGAGATGGCGCGCACCTGCGGCATACTACTGCCGCTGCTGCGGTGGCCGCCGACCGTCGCAGACGCCCGCCCGCCTTCCTTCCTTCACTCGATATTCAAAATATCGGCGGAGAAAAATTAGCGCGGGAAACTTTTAATGACTGGCCGCGGGCGGCGGGCGGTACATGTGTGCGTGCGTGCGCGCGTGTAGCATAGACGTATGTGCGCTCTCTCCAGTCAGCCGACGCCCCGGTGCATGGTGCCGCACAGACACGCGTGTATAGCCGCGTGTCATCAGCTGCGATGGATAGGCAGACGATAAGATCAAGAGGCGGGTTACCTGCCGGGGCCGCCCGCCCCAGCGCATGTACATACAGTGGCAAGGATTGTACCTCATCCCATCCCTGTCTCTCTGTCCCTCTCTCTCTCTTTCTCTCTCTCTCTCT